TCCAGCCCTTCCTCCGAGTCCTGCTCAGAGTCCTCCAGGCACACTGCCCAAGTCATGTCTGTGGGGCGCGTTGTCCGCGTAGCTGGCCGCAGCTCCACCTCGCAAGCCGCTGGGCCGGTCAGCAGCCACGCCAGGCACAAGCAGAGGTGGACGCAAGGCAAGGTGGGCCGAGGCACTGCTTCCCATGGTGGCGCCTTCTTGCCCCGCCACGGAGGCATCCGGCAGGAAAGCTGCAATGGGAGGAAAAAGAGCCAAAACTCACACACTGCATTTCGACAAGGACAAATGCAAGATATTACTGTTGCGCCCCAGCCATGGGAAACCTTTTTGCCCAAGCACCACGCCAAGGCAAAAGAATCCACTAAGTAAAGCTTAGTAAGTATAAAGTAAATGATTGAAAAAGGCAGACTCAAAAGAACAATCAAAAATCCAAAAAGCAAAACCAGTTAATCCACATTTACTGAAGCAATTCCAGGAGACAACTCCCACAGATTCAGCCACTTGGCAGTTCTTTTAAAACCATTGCAAGAAAGAAAATCAATCTACTTGGATTTAGCACAGCTGGTAAATCAGCAGCAGCAATAGCAATCAGATCTACCAACCAAAAGGTTGCCAGTTCAAAGCCCGGGTTGGAGTCGGAGTGAGCACCCGACAGTCAGCCCAGCACACTGTTTACCTAAGCATATGATGCCCATGTATAAATATGTGGGACGAAGCCACAGGGAGGAGGAGGGAGCAAGCTTGTTTTCTGCTTCCCTGGAGACTAGGACGCAATGGAAGAATGGCTTCAAACTACAAGAGAGGAGATTCCATCTGAACATGAGGAAGAACTTCCTGACTGTGAGAGCCGTTCAGCAGTGGAACTCTCTGCCCCGGAGCGTGGTGGAGGTTCCTTCTTTGGAAGCTTTTAAAAAGAGGCTGGATGGCCATCTGTCAGGGGTGATTTGAATGCAATATTCCTGCTTCTTGGCAGAATGGGGTTGGACTGGATGGCCCATGAGGTCTCTTCCAACTCTACGATTCTAGGATTCTATTATTCTAAGAAGTTCAACAACAGCTTGAGCTGTTGGTAGATAAATTAGGTACCAAGCGGAGTAGGTATTTTAATATTTTAGTGTGATTTAGAAATATGATGTTTTAATGACTGTCTGTAATATTGATGTTGGAAACCCGCCTGAGTCCCTCGAATGGAGGTGAGAAGACCGGGATACAACCAAATAAACTACCAAATAAATAAATAAATATTTTACGACACCATAAAGGAAAAAAACCAGAAAATGCCCAGTGACCAAAAGGAAGGAGGAAGTCCTGGTGGCTCTTTACCACAGAGGGTGGAGCAACAGCACCCCTTTGTGGCTGGATTTGAGCACAACCTCCAAGGCGCCTAAAAGCTGGATGTTGAAACAACATACCTCCTTTCTGTCTGTTCTGTCCTTGTCTGTCCAAACAACATTGAATATTTGCCGTGTACGTGTACTGTGACCCGCCCTGAGTCTCCTTGGGGAGATAGGCCGGAATATAAATAATGTGATTTTTGATGATGACTGACCACTGTAATTATATGATTGTATTTTGCTATTTTAATGTTTTAGTGTGATTTAGAATATGATGTTTTAATGACTGTAATATTGGTGTTGGAAACCGGCCAGAGTCCCTCAAACGGAGGTGAGAAGACCGGGATACAAAACTGCTAAATAAATAAATAGTGTTATTACTATAGTGTTATTGGAGAAAGACATAGCAAGGGCTTGAAAACAGGAACATGATCTAATTCAGAACAAAAAACCATGAAGACATGAACAATGACCCAAAAATCCAGGAACTTGAAACTTGGAATTACATGATCAGGATCCAAAAATACACAAACAGTTGGCACCATAAAGCACCGCATACAAGGCCTTCCTCGGGGCAAAGGTAATGCGGCACTCACATTACACAATCTCTACACGACGCCGACACGACACAATGCGTGTCAATAAGGGATCAATGTGCAGCGCTGGCGTTGCTCTTGCTTGATCCCTTTCGAAGCCGTCTTCATTCACTCTGGCCCTCCAAAGGATGCGATGCTGGGAGTTGTAGTCTGGAAGAGAGTGTGGATATGCTATTGTGTGATTGTGTGGGGTGTTTTTTGCAGGGGGAGTCATTTTTGTGCATGTGCTGTAGCATCTTTTTTTGCTTTTCTGGCTTTTTAAGTCCCTTCTGTTGAGTTTTTCAGTGTTTTTATGAGTGATCATAAAATCCTAGAATCCTAGAGTTGGAAGAGACCTCCTGGGCCATCCAGTCCAACCCCATTCTGCCAAGAAGCCGGAATATTGCATTCAAATCTCCCCTGACAGATGGCCATCCAGCCTCTGCTTAAAAGCTTCCAAAGAGGGAGTCTCCACCACACTCCGGGGCAGAGAGTTCCACTGCTGAACAGCTCTCACAGTCAGGAAGTTCTTCCTCGTGTTCAGGTGGAATCTTGTTGGCCTGAGAGGTGTCTTGTGTCCAAATTTGGTGTCCATTCACCCAGTGGTTTTTGAGTTACGTTAATCCCACAAATTAACACTACATTTTTATTTATATAGATGATGCGTGATATATGTATTTATTTGGCCTATATGGGAAAGATCCGTGGTCTAAGCATTAAATAAACAAAAACACTATTCTTCTGAAGCCACGATTTTGGGCCAGGTGAAGTGTCCAAGGCTGGTTTCCAATGGCTATTGCCACCACTGCCTGTTGTGTAAATCGATGCCTAAAACAGAGAAATCAATCCTGGGATTCATGCACACTCCGTCACTGGTTGGATACGCCAATGGGATTTCTAGTTTGGAGAAGCACAGAGAAGTCTAGGAAACTTCCACCGTTGGGCAAACAACAAACACAAACGGCCCTGTTTTCATCCGAAAGGCGGCACAAGCAAACAATTGCACACAAACAGACACACTGATCACGAGCGCAGCCCTCATGGAAACAGACCTCTGCGCCATTCAGGAAAAACAAGGGGAAGGAGGCAGGGTTTGGCCCCATTGGTTTCCACAACTGGAAATAATCAAAACAGACACCCTCCAGGGTGAGCAGGGTGGGGTTGTTTTTCCAATGCAGTGCCTGTCTTATTGGGAGGGGAGAAAGGCCAGAGAGACCCCTGCCATCCAATCTAATGCGCACCTCTCTCTGCAAAATCCCCCAAACAAACCCTTCCTCCTTCCCTCCCTTCTCTCTTTCCTTTCTCCCTTCCCTCTCTTTTCTCCTTCCCTCCCTCTTCCCTTTCCTCTGTCCCTTCCTTCTCTTTCCTCCCTCCTTTCCTGACTTTCTTCCTTCCTTCCCTTTTTCCTCTCGCCTTTCCTCCCTCCCTTCCCTTCTTGCTTCTTTCCCCCTTTCTTCTCTCCTTCCTTCCTTCTTTCCTTTCCTTCCTCCCTCCTTTCTCCTTTCTTTTCTCTTTCCCTCCCTCCTCTCTTTCCTTCTTTCATTCATCCTTTCTTTTCCCCCTCCTTTCCTCCTTTTCTTCACTCTTTCCTTCCTTTCTCCTCTCTTTTATCCTTCCCTCCCTTCTCTCTTTCCACCTCCCTTCCTTCTCTTTCCCTCTTTTTGTTCTCTTTCCCCTTCTCCTTTCCTCCTCCATTTCCTCTTTCCTTCCTCCTTTCCTCCTCTTTCCTCCTTCCCTTCCTTCTTTCTTTCCTTCTCTCCGTCTCTCTTTCCCTCCCTCCTTCCTTCTCTCCCTTTCTTTCTTTCCTTCTCCTCTTCCCTTTGTCTCCCTATTTTTCTCCCTCCTTCTCTCCTTCCTTTCTTCTCTACCCTTCTTTCTTTCCTTCCCTTCCTTTTACCTTCCCTTCTCTTTCCTTCCTTCCTTCCTCCTTTTGTCTCCTTGCCTCCTTCTTCCCATTTCTTCTCCCTTTCCTTCCTTCTTCCTCTCTTTCCTCTTCCCTTTCCTTCCTTCCACTTCCCTCCCTCCCTCTTCACTCCTTTTGTCTTCTTCCCTCTTTCTTCCCTTTTCTTCCTTCCTTCCTTCTTCCTCTCTTTTCTCTTCCCTTTCCTTCCTTCCACTTTCCTCCCTCACTCCTCCTTTTCCCGCTTCCCCCTCTTGCTTCCCTCTCTTTCTTTCCTTCCTTCCTCCTTTTGTCTCCTTCCCTCCTTCTTCCCTTTCCTTCTCCCTTTCCTTCCTTCTTCCTCTCTTTCCTCTTCCCTTCCTTCCATTCCCTCCCTCCCTCTTTCATCCTTTTCTCCCTCTTTCCCTTCCTTCTTCCTTTCATCCTTTCCTTCCTCTCTTTTATCTTTCCTTCTTTCCTCCCTCACTCCTCCTTTTCCCGCTTCCCTCTCTTGCTTCCCTCTCTTTCTTTCCTTCCTTCCTCCTTTTGTCTCCCTCTTCCCTTTCCTTCTCCCTTTCCTTCCTTCTTCCTCTCTTTCCTCTTCCTTTTCCTTCCTTCCACTTTCCTCCTCTCCCTCCTTCCTCTCTCTCTCTCTCTTTCCTTCCTTCCTCCTCTCTTTCCCTTCCCTTCCCTTCCCTCCATCCTTCCTTCTCTCCTTTCGGGGAAAGAGAGGGAGGGAAGGAGGGAGAGCGTCACATCCGGGGTCTCCCCCCTTTTCCCTAATCTGTGGACCCCCCCCCCAGTCTCCCCCCCTCCCCAACCTCAAAGAGGGTCTCCCTCCCCCTCCCCTCCCTCTCCCCTATTCCCTCCCTTGGACCCCCCACCCCCTCCCCACCCCCTGTTTTCCTTTGCACTCTGCACATGCCCTGGAGCCCCCTCCCCTCCCTCCCTTGGACCCCCAGAAAGGGGGGGGGGTGCCTGGTCTGGGCTGGAGCAGAGCAGGCAGCAGTGGACCCACCTTCTGGGAGATCCCTCTCTCTCTCTTCCTTCCTCCCTTCCTCTCTTTCCTTCCCTCTTTCCTTCCTTTTCCAGGCGGACCGTGGTCTTGGGGGGCGCTGTGGTTCTCCTTGGCGTCCGGCACGGGTCCCGCCTTGCCTGCCTCTCCTTCCTTCCTGAGGCCCCGCCCACAAAGAGAGAGAGAGAGAGAGAGAGAGAGAGAGAGAGAGAAGGAGGAAAAGGAAGGAAAGGAGGAGAGGAAGGAGGAAAGAGAGAGAGAGAGAGAGAGAGAGGAGGCAGGCAAGTCTCAAGGCATCCCCCCTCCCCTTGCAACCCCCTCCCCTCCTTTTTTACCTTGCATTATTCTCCTTCCAGGGCTGACTACACCTCCCATCATCCCCAGGCACTGCAGTTGGACTACAGCTCCCATCATGCCCTGGCTGTGCTCTCCTGCAGCTCAGTAGCGCAAGGGGGAGGCCTCTGAGTGTGTGTGTGTGTTTGGGGGGGGGGGGGGAGGGAAGGTGCTGCCCTTTTATTCTTGAGGACTACAACTCCCATCACTCCCTGCCCGTGCCTCTACTAGCTATCATGCAACTCACATTGCAGCTATAGTGCAAGGATGATGGGCCTGTGAGTGGGAGGCCTTCTTTCAGATTTGCTTCCCCTTCAGACTGAGGACTACAACTCCCATCACCCCCTGCCTGTGTGCATCATTTGGCTCACGTTTCAGCTATAGTGCAAGGATGATGGGCCTTTGAGTGGGAGGCCTTTTTTCTGATTTGGGGAGTGTGTGTGTGTGTGTGTGTGTTTGTTCCCTTTTAGTCTGAGGACTACAACTCCCATCACTCCCTGCCCCTCATGTAGTTCATGCGGCGACTAAAGAGCAAGGATGATAGGTCTTTGAGTAGGAGGTCTTCCTTCTGATGTTGTTCTTTTTTTTGGGTGGGGGGAGGGTGCTTTCCTTTTTGACTGACAACTGTAACTCCCATCGCCCTGTGGCTGTGCCCTACTATCATGCAACTCAGTAGTAAAAGGACAATGGGCCTTTGAGTGTGTGTGTGTGTGTGGAGGGGTGCTTCCCTTTTAGACTGAAAACTGCAACTCCCATTACCCCCTGCCTGTAACCATCATGTAGTTCATGTTGCAGCTATAGAGCAAGGATGATGGGCCTTTGAGTGGTGGGGGTGCTTTCCTTTTAGACTGAGGACTACACCTCCCACCATCCCCTGGCTGCATCTATCATGCAGTTCACGTTGCAGCCATATTGCAAGGATGATGGGCCTTTGAGTGGGGGGTGCTACCCCTTTAGTCGGAGGACTGCAACTCCCATCACCCGGTGGCTGTGCCCTACTCTCATGCAGCTCAGTAGTGCAAGGATGATGGGCCTTTGAGTGTGGAGGGTGCTTCCCTTTTAGACTGAAAACTGCAACTCCCATTACCCCCTGCCTGTAACCATCATGTAGTTCATGTTGCAGCTATAGAGCAAGGATGATGGGCCTTTGAGTGGTGGGGGTGCTTTCCTTTTAGACTGAGGACTACACCTCCCACCATCCCCTGGCTGCATCTATCATGCAGTTCACGTTGCAGCCATATTGCAAGGATGATGGGCCTTTGAGTGGGGGGTGCTACCCCTTTAGTCGGAGGACTGCAACTCCCATCACCCGGTGGCTGTGCCCTACTCTCATGCAGCTCAGTAGTGCAAGGATGATGGGCCTTTGAGTGTGGAGGGTGCTTCCCTTTTAGACTGAAAACTGCAACTCCCATTACCCCCTGCCTGTAACCATCATGTAGTTCATGTTGCAACTATAGAGCAAGGACGATGGGCCTTTGAGTGGTGGGGGTGCTTCCCTTTTGGACTGAGGACTACACCTCCCATCATCCCCTGGCTGTGTGTATCATGCAGCTCACGTTGCAACCATAGTGCAAGGATTATGGGCCTTTGAGTGTGGCTGATGACCCTCTAGATGAAGAACTACAATTCCCATCATCCGGTGGCTGTGCCCTACTTTCATGCAGCTCAGTAGTTCAAGGATGATGGGCCTTTGAGTGTGGGGATGTGTCCCTTTTAGATGGGACATCATGCCTTGGCTGTGTATATCAGGGTATACCTTGTGTATACCTTGGCTGTGTATATCAGGCAGCTCACATTGCAAGCCTATTGCAAGGATGATGGGCCTTTGAGTGGGGTATGTGTCCCTTTTAGACAGAGGACTGCAACTCCCATCATTCCCTGGCTGTATGTATCAGGCAGCTCACGTTGCAAGCCTATTGCAAGGATGATGGGCCTTCGAGTGGGGTATGTGTCCCTTTTAGACAGAGGACTGCAACTCCCATCATGCGATGGCTGTGTGTATCAGACAGCTCAAGTTGCAACCCTATTGCAAGGATGATGGGCATTTGCGTGAGAGGCCTTCCTTCTGATTTGGGGGGTGCTTCCCTATTAAACTGAGGACTGCAAGTCCCACCATCCCCTGCCTGTATGTGCCGTATATCTCACGTTGCAGTACATTGCAGGGATGATGGGTCCTTGAGTTGGAGGCCTTCCTTCTGATAGCATTGTAATCAAACAATCCTTCCTTCCATGCTTGGAGTGGCTGACTCTGCCATTCACTGACCATTGGGCTGCTGTCTTTGCAGATGGCTTCGGAGCAGAACAAGGAGGAAGAGGAAGAGGAAGAAGAGGAGGAAGTAGCGGTGGCGCAGAGCCCTCCCCCCG